GCCATCCAATCCAAGACAGTGCAAACAGAAGCAAGATTATGCAAGCAGTATTGCAATCCGATTGGTGGAAGCCTGGATAACCAACAATCTTCTTTTGTTCATATTATTTATTCGCCCTTATTTCTTTCAATAAACGAACTACGTATTACTACTCCCGTGGTCTTTTCCTCGCATCTCATTCACCTGGGATGCCATTGTTGTCCAGTGCTTTCGTAATCCAGTCTGTGACGGCTTATCCTTGACTCGTGTTCCGTGATTTCTATTGCGTGGTTTGCATTCCGAATTCCGTGCGTAATACTACTACTACTACAATCATTAGAAGAACATGATTAAAATGGCACAGGACAGTATATTAGAAAAAATGTCTTCCTTTTTGTGTCGTCTTTACGCGTTAGCATTCGTTCTTTTTTATTGCTTCCGGTGTGTTCTGAATGTTCCATATCAGCTGACCAGTCAAAGTCGTCGAACCCCCCAGTTGATTACGCTGTCTGACCAATCAGAAACGTCTTACCGTCCGTGGTGAAATACAGTGATCGATCATTTTGGAACGGAGGCTTANGGAATCTCACCCAGCTGCTGCTTTTTTCTTTTGGCTATTCTCGCCAAACATGACTTTTTCGACCGGAATCTTTTGGAATTTAGCCTTCTTGACAGTAACATGCACTCCAGAATCACTTGAAGAAATAAATTAGCATGGCTAAATTCGGTTTCGGCAGTGTGCTTTTTACTTGTGTTCTTAAGACCGATGATTTGAAGAGCACCTCTCTGAGCATCGCTGTAGGGAAAGAATTTGCGGTTGTTCTCAATGACTGTACTAAGCTTTCTGCTTACGAATTTTCATGGTTCTCATTGAAGTGTTATTTGTATAGAGAAGGAGTAATAGAGTATTATTTATTCAGTGTGTGTTAACAACAAGAGTTGAACATGCAAACTACCACTTCAGTTAATGATCTGGTCCCCTCGGCAGGTTCAACTGTTTAAGAAAATGTATGCTATTAATAAGTAGTACAGTAATTCTATTGTTAATTTGATTTCTATTGACCTTACCTCAACCGTCGTCTACAGTGAGAGTTCTTAGATTAGCCAGTTCAGTCACCAACCTTCAGACAAGAGTTTCGGTGTTTTGGAATTCATTTGTAGTGTACGCTTATCGACCCATTTGGGATTTAAACTACTTCTCTGACCAAGCAAGTACGGTACTCCCGACTTTTGCTGCCTCGATGTTTGAATGACCGTAAAAGTGGGTAATTGTGCGTAATTGAATGAAGGAAATTACAAATGCACGCTTACGCACTGTCACGAAGATAGGTGAACACTGCTCAATGTTCCTGCAGATCGAAGTTCTCACATTTCGATGCGATTATTGAGTTTTTTAACTGTTTGGGATTGCATTAATATCATTCTGAATTTATGTACTGTTATAAATATTGCTGCAAACATATTAAAAGCGTTACATTCTCCGTTCCTATTTTTCACTGTCAGCAACCTGTTGTGACCTTCAGAGAGCAGACCGCTGTAGCAAGCAGACCTGGTGAAACGATTGACTTGACACTTCAAATCCAGGTTCCCCCAGGAGCCATTTTCCCCGATTCGAGTTTACGCGTAGAATGCCCAAATGAAGCAGGTGATACCGAGGCCAAATGCACACTGCTTGCTTTGCGATTAGAATCCGGTTTCAATTATGCCCAACTGGGGAATGAGTTATTCAAACCGGTATTCACTTCTTCGTCCAAGACAGATCAGTTGAATGTGATGGAAGTACCTCTGGGTACAGTGGTGCACACCGGTGAGTATCAATCGTACCTTCAATTGTTGACAATCACCAGCTTTCATAGTCATTATGATCGCCTGAGTGAGATTGGTGTTGGTCTGAGAGCTATTGCATGTAAGTGAATCTAATAAATGTAAGGAGCACCGACGGGATGCAAACTAACTGTAGTGAGTGTAGTAGTAGTAGTAGTGGTACTAGTGGTAGTAACAGTAATATTAGTAGTATTAGCAGTAGGAGTTGTTTGCACTGAAATCGGAACAAGAACCACTCAATACGGATCAAGGAATGCGAATCAAGGATCTGTAATCACGGAGTGGACCATGTAAGCACTGGACCGCAATGGCATTAGCATGAAATATCCCACATGACTGAGACACGAGGAAAAATCCTAAGGAATAGTAGTTCATTTATTGGAAGAAATAATGGGGAATAAATAATATATACAAATCAAGTTCATTGGTTGTCCTGGCTTCTACTAATCGCGTTCCAGTATTGCTTGCGTCGTTCTGCTTCTATCTAAGCCGCACGGTCTCTGATTGTCTCGTACAATCTACGTATGGTATGTAGTCAGAAACGATGACAGGCACGCGCGTTATTGACATCAGTCGTGAAGTTTGATTGATCACAGTCGTCCAAAAACTGTAACGCGTCGCCCCAAGTTACGCGTCATCTTATAGGCCGGGATCCCCACAACTCTCCTCCCTCAGAAGAGCTTTTTCGAAATGACTTGCTCTTGGGATTGAGTTTCGTAGTGCAAGGATATTAGTTTTTTCAGTAGGTAGTTCAGGAATACCGGATTTCTGTTTTCTGCTTTCTGTGCTTGAAGATGCGGGATCAGCGAATTCGGCGTTCCCACTGGTAGAATCCTTTGAACATACTGGTGGGTTTGTTGTCACTGATTTGCTGAATCTTTCTCCGAAGCAACACATTGCAGTGATGTTTGGCGGCTTCACTGATCTTTATTTGGTGTTGGGGTGCACAGCACTAACACATTTTACACACACACACACACACACATTTTTACAGGTAGTCAACAATTCAAACGAGAAGCGTTGATTCTCATCCGTATTAGTAGAAGTACTTCAACCAATATATATAGTCATAAGAGCAAAAACAGTTCATATTGCGACAGAACAATTAGATATTTATCGTGTGATAGAAACCCAAAGTAGAATAGACAACGCACCACATGCAATTTATTTTGGAATGTCTAATTCATTCTTCAAATGGAGCAACCAATTCCCATGAAATAAACCAATTTTAATGGTTTTTATAGGAATTTAAATCTCAAATAGACAAAACCACATTAAACCGCAAAACTATCTCTTGGTAGCTCAACCTCCTAATTTATGATTTTATTTTTATGATTGTTGCACACTATCCAATGTAAAATTTTCATTGTATTCAGATTCTGGTGTTAGGATCAACAATGTGAGATACTCTCAATGAGTATGCAAACATGGTTTCTCCTATTTTACCATGTAAATTTAAGATTGAAAGTGGTTTGATCAGGTTTTGGTAAGTGCCTTCCTTGTTCGCTTACGTAGTGATTATGAATTCCATCATGTTCTCTCCCTAGTCGAGTGGATCAGTTGGATGTGTTGATGATACCTCAAAAAGATCAGCTCTTCTCCGCTTGACACGACCAATGCACTATACATGATCAGATAACTATAAATTAATTCTTCCACTACCCTTGTGAAAATGTCTTCTACTTCTTCGTTCCTCCTATGTACTCCAATTTGATAATATTCCAATGGAGACTAAATCTGAAGGTGATTTTCCTTTTACAGAACTGAATAATAATAATAATAATAATAATTCTTTATCGTCTGCTGTTTGTGGATCGTGGTTCCACGATTCATGTACACATGGATAGAAATGTTCATTATTATGTAATGACAACAACAATGAATCACTAAAAGTTTTATCAATGAAGTATCACAGAGTTCCCTCATTCTCGACTCCTTCTCGACTGCGAACGCATTACCACGAAATTTGTAAAATAAGATTACCTCTTTAAGCTTTCTCGATGTCTAGATTGAGATTCTTCACTCCTTTCCTATTGACTTTATTGTAGTGTTTGCCGGCCTTCAAATAACGTTTTAGACCATTTTGCGTAGAAGCATAAAATGTGTATCCGGTTTCATGGCTTTTCATAGCTGTACATCAGTTCAAGTCCAAATGTTGCTTTACTATACCATCTGCTACAAATTCAGGTGCGAAATACCCCACTAAAGTAAAAATCTAAATAAATACATTTAGTTTGAAGAGGCACCGCAAAACTATTAACAAATCATGCATAATACGATCCGGGTGGCATAAAAGTGAGCAAAATAAGGAACAATGGAAAGTAATACACGTGTGTGCCTAAATGTGCTTGTGCTCGGGGAGAGTAAAAAATATTGATATAAATAATGCAGATTTAAATGGGTGACAGGCGTCAGGCAGTATTTTGTGAGCCAGTTTATCACAAGCTTCGGTGTGTTGAGAGACTGCGTGGTGGATTAAATAAATTTTGGTAAACGACAACACATGAATGAATGTCAGAGTGACCTCTAATACCTACATATAACCAACACTATTTTTTATGAATAAGTTATATATTTAAGGATAAATGTGTCCATGAGGTCTATTCGGAACACTTCATGTTTTAGGCTGGATAAATTCACTATTGATTATTTGAATGACAAGAGGTTTTCTTTCTCCTAAAATGTATTTTCCAACCCCTCATCATTTGTTTTGTTTCTGTGTTGACGTGAATTGCCAGGCTTTTACAATGGATCTTCGTTTAGGTGAAGGCAAAGCAAATCATTCTCCACGTCGCATTCCCTATCTGATCATTTCATACTTTGTTACTCGAAAAATTAAAAAAAGACAGTTATGCTCTAATTCATTCGGTAAAACGTGCGCTGTACAGTGAGAAAGACGTTGTCCAAGAGTATGAACCACTCTATGCAATAAAGTCTGTTGACCTTTAGTATATGTTAAAACTGTCACTTTCACATACCGCATTGAATGACCATGAAATTCTTCTAACCATTCATTCCATTCGACCCGGGATTGGGGAAACCCAAACGGTTCAGGTGCTACGCAGACCATCAGCTTATCTGATTCGGATTCAAATCTATTGAATGCGATAGNGCAACTTCGAATCGCCGATGGGAAATGGGCGGAAAATGATGCCGAACTGACAGTGAATGCGGCTGTACAGTTGAGCTCACTTTCTCAGAGTGCCAGTGCAAAGCTGAAAGTGTTTCGAGACGGAACGGAAGAGATGCGAATCACACTGCAGACAAAGGTAATCAACGATCAACCATCTTGCGCACCTGGGTGAGTCAATTGTATACTAAGATTGGCTTTGTTTCATTTGCGCATTTACTTCCTTTTCACTAAAACGATACAATTTTCCAAAAGAGGGAAGCGGCCAATCAAATGACTGCCATGTAACACAATGAGGAAAGTCGTATTTAGCTCACAACTACTCGTGAGTAGTAACGTTGGATAATTGATATTGATGTGAGCTGACTATCCTTCGAAATTTACTTTCACGCACAATCCTAAGTTCATCCAGTCAAACACACGTTCAGAAATACTGTACCCAAGTTTCGCTCTTATTAGAGCTCATCAGCAGTGGATATCCAGCCTCTCGTCCGGCCTGTGAGTTAAATGTATAGTATGTATATTATCAATTCAGCCTAGTACGTTTGTGGCAAATCATCTGGTAACCTGCATAGAAGACCTGATTTGGCGGGAGGCATTCGACCGGAGTTAACGGATAGTCAAATGTCTGTATTCATTTCTATCGAGCTAAAACTAACTGCCTGTCGTTGAAGACTACCCCTAAACAAACATGAATTGGCAATTCGATTCAGCTTCGGTTCGCTCAGGGCGACGGGTCCGGAGTTCAAATTGCAGATGGGACGGTGGATATGCACTGCTGATGAGCTCAAATAAGACCAAAGCTCTAGTCTGGTGCTTCCGAGTGTATGGTTGACTGAATGAACTGAAGTTTTTGCGTGCTGGTAAAGTCCGAACAACGATAGAAGTTAGGCGATGTTAATGGGAATTGTACACACACCCCGGGGAGGTAATCTAGTGACAGTTACCACCATGACAAATCCGTGTCAAACGTAATGATTATTCATTCACGATGATTTTCTACATGGGTTAGGACAGAATGAGAGCGGTTATCAAAGGTGCGGTTTCCGATCTTTTGAACATTACTGCTAGATGAACGCCAGTCGCGGTCACGAGAACAATATGTTCATCTATGACAATCACCCAGAGAATTTAAATTTAAATTTGAACGGGTACAAAAGACCCTAATATGTTAGATGAGTTATTCAACCAAACGACGGTGAAGCGGATTAAAGTCACCTTACATTTGACTCTGTTTTGCCTTCTGCCCTTGTTCTCAACTCGAACGTGTTGAACAAAATCATATTGAACTAAGTATCTGCATACAAATGAGGTCCATCGTGTGATATCTGCATAAGCTATGAAAAGTTAATGGTATTCGGGTAGAAAATTTACTTCAGTAACTAATATCATAATTTCAATATGCAATATAATAGATACAAGTAACCAGGGCAAATATTTACAGTCGCCCTTCCCATTTTGTCATCCTAGGGAGGAGCTTCAAGTTAACATCACAATGGAAATGAATGAGGATTCGAACCTGGAGTGTCAGAGTCGTCAATTGCTTGTGCATCATACGCTCTATCTTGTGGATGTGAAGATAGTCGAACAGAGTAAACTGATCAATCAGTTCACAAAAGACGACTCGAATTCAGACACAAGAATTGCAGCATTCAGTGTAAGTTTCCCATTGATGAATATGTTTCATATCTGTGCAAATCACTATATGGATCAAACTCGTTTGGCATGACCCGAAATTTAGAAAAATCATAGTTGGAAGTATCAAACACTTTTATTGATAGCCATAGTAAAATAATACAGATAATCTTAGGTTTATCTACCCTACAAAGTTCCTACTTCTTTTGGTTTCACTATTTCAGTTAGCGTGACCTTTAATGTCATGATGAAACCTGTAATAGTTCAAAAGTTACAGCTTTAAGTGATCCAGACCAGCATGGGAGTTCATTCTTTTTATTAAATGATTATTGCTTCATAAAGTTGTTTGTTCTGGCTAATCCAAGTAGTCTCAACGTTAATGTGTTGAAACTGCAGCAGGAAACCGGCAATTTAGGTAGACCTCATGCCAAAATGACCGACCCATGTGCTGCTAAATAAAGATAGACACCTAGGATATTGAAATATTACAGTAATTCTGTTGAACTAATGGGTCGTTCGTACAAATAGATCCATATGATTTCGTTTTACTTAGGGTTTCGTTATCTTACAACGGATGGTAGAGTAATCGTTGTCGAAAATTTATATCATGGGAACATTAGCACCGCTCCTCACTATATTGAAGGTTGTTTACCAATAACTTCCAATCTTCATTAGAACTCCTATCGGATATTCAATGTTGATTCGCAAACTTTCATTTTTGGTTTCTCTGGAAAACCATGACATAACATGTCCCATCCAGGGATAGTCCACTTTGTTTTCATATGTCAGCTACTTTTCTGTGTTGCATTGGAGGTAGACTTGCTAATCAGCGCCAGTGGCTTTTTCGGTCCAGATGGCATTCTTTTGTTCGAAGCTCAGACATGCCTGATATTTCTTAGACGTCGAGCTGAGTTCCTGTTTTGCTCATTCCCTTCCCGATGGGATTGATGGAATATAGCCTGACTGGTTGGTCACCTTTTTCCGCAAATCCAGTTGCCATTCACCCCTTGCTTAACACCCGGACACTCGATTTACTGTTAATTTCCACCACTGCTATTTTGTTTTGTACATCTTTGGAGCTGAACTTAACAGCTCACCGGGCCATAATATTAACTCTCCTAACCGAAACATAGACGCTAATAATCCTTCACAAGCTTTTATCTCTTACATTCAATTGTCATTTTTCAGTCTTGTATGCAATGGACGACTAATTTTTGAACGAAATTAACGAACACAAAATCATTATGATGCGACCTTTGGTAGCGGGAACCGTATGGACCGATAACCTCGACATGCAGATAAACCACCATAATTAGTTGAGCACGGCATTGCGCCACGATAATCCAACTAACAACTTGCTCTGCAGCCATGATGCTGAAAGTACGATGGAAGAAGGATTATTTGATAAGCCATAGAACTAGGTCAAATTGGTATCGACTATCAATGTTCAATGTTCAATGTTCTTCAATTAGAGGCAGAGGGTAATTTCCCGTATGAGCCTCAATCACCACAGACTCGAAGATCTCATTCATGATAGATCTGCATACCACATTGTTCGCAGGACGCTGTCGAGCTTCCCCTTGAATATTAATCGATATTCGGGTAAGCTGTATCAAATACCTCAATGATGCTATCGATGATAATCTTCATTGGTTCTCTCATATTCAACATATGGTAACATATGGTAAAAATCGATAACTTACTTTTCATAACCGTTAGTGTCGTCAGTTTCCAATTCAACAGTCGTACACAATGGGGTTTATCCGTTTTACTCTTCTGTTCCTTCGTTGTCTTTACATCTTGGTGAATGAAAGATGAAGGCGGTTTTGATAAGCAATGTGTTTGAATGTCATTTGAATGCATGTGNTACAGATCTCACACATTCACTACATCAATATTTAATTTCCTGTCGTCTCCATCCGTCTACTAGCTTCAATTACTGTAGTATTCCCTCTGGCCTAAAAATATATCGTAAATCTACGATACCCATTTTAATACATCTTCTAGTTACCAAGTTGCATCCAGCGGTTTATTGAGTAAAAAGTGAGTTTTGAGGCTCATTCTACTATGCAATACTACCCTCATTTACACCTGAGACAATACCAGGAGTCTGGGAAACAGAGAACGAAGTGGACGAAGCTTTTAAGTGTCAATTTGAAAAGTATACAAAGATTGACATCATGCAGTAAAAGTTACCTGTATTGACTGAATTGATGCATAAGCTAATTGATACCCACTGGTGAAAGTCGTTACCTCGCTCATTTTGAGGTGACCACTGCAGGTTAATGTCGTTGACTTAATTCTGAACATACTGAATCTCGATTATTTGAGAAGTTTTTCCTATAGGATAACTTATCACTTTTATTCAACCCCAACCAAATGTATACTTATATCGAGAGGATACATCCGGCCATCAACAATATTGCGTTCAGGGCAATTGCACGCTGATCGTTGTTCGATCGTNTTTACACAAACTGAGATCATGATGTTTCATTTGTTTGGCTACGTTATAGCAGACTGATTACCAACAAACTTATGAGTTAAGCTTTGTGCACTGTTCAACAGGTGTTACGTTAGCACTGGTTATATCGCAGAGAACAAAACTACAATGATCAGTAGCACAGATCATTAAAGAGTAATCTCAATAAATTTTCCTCAGCAGAATATGCATTCGACTATCTGATAACCTATCTCACTTATAAGAAAAGGTGCTTACTCACCGGTATTAGTAGTTAAGCCTTATTTGCACAACCTCAATGCATCGCAAGGCCACAGCTGATCCCATGTCCTGATTTACTGCATACATTCCATATCTTCTACAGGCTGGGGCACTCTACTTTGGTCAAAGTGCAGCCATGACCTTGTCTATGCAAGTGGATCCGAAGATAGAATTCAAAAAGACAGAAAATTCCAAGTCAATTTCTGTAACAGCTGAATTGGTGTGCATGGCAAACAAGCGCACATCTCCACTGCCCCAAAACTCCGGTGGTCGTCCGGCAAGATTTTTCAACTTCGCTCAAGTAAAATTGAAGCGACCCGACTCAGGTGAGTGTTTCGTGTTCAACGTTTCCACAATTATGTCGGAGAGTTGTATTATATGGGCATTATTTTACAGTATATTTGACCGTTTCTTTCATATTCATATGTTGCAGGCAATACCATTTTCCCACAGGTAACATTGAAGGTTTAGGCCTGAGACGTAACTATATGTATTTTGTATTGCGGTGTTCACCAAAATTATTGAAAGAGTCCAGCAGAGCACATTTCAAACAAAACAACCGAGTGGTGAACATGCTCGTTTTCAATGATTTGTGTTCATATAAATACATCATAAAGTGGGAATCAAATTGTCCTGGGAAAATGAAATAAAACCACAGATTACTTTGGAAACGATTGCATCATGCGACCAGAAATCCGATGCACCACGATCACATTATCGTTCATCCACTCATCCGAGAATAGAGATTTATTCGTGATGTAGTTCGTGTTTGGAAGGGGTTAGAGAATCTTTGGCGCATGCACCAATCGGGTTTGGACACACAGCTGGGGACGGGTTCAAAACGAATTCTCATCGCCTCTGTTGTGGCCAGTGTCAGACAGTGAATCTGCCTGGATAAGTCATCCACGAACTTTGCACGGTGGGAGGAGCAGGCCTCTGCCACTTTCACAGTGTGATTAGCTTCAGCTGGATGTGCAAACACTGCACTGGTGAGTGACGTAATCGTTCGGTGTTCAGCAACGCAGAGTGGTGGTCACGAATCCTTCCGGATAATCGCTTGATTGTGTAACCTACGTACGATTTTACATAGAGTCAGGTAAATTACTATACAAAGAATGGGACAGCATAGCCCAAAATGATAATAAAAGTGCTTGAATTTGATGTTTGTTGAGTCGAGACTCAGAGACANGAGACATTCTCCATTGGAAAATTTGCCTCACTGCTGCAAAACACTGAACATACAATGTGTTTGCGAATTATATGCGACAGACTGAGGTACTGGGCCATCCAACCACGGAAACGGTACTAGGATTATTGTCTGATAGGTACTTTGTTTTCTGAAATGTCATTTTGATCCTTCAAGATGTAATAGGTGACCATTTGTAGAGTGTTATGTTTTGGTTCTATCGGCAAACATTCGAGCCCTAAGTATCCGAGACATTTTTGCGGGGAAGAGCTCAATATTTTTGTTATTCATAAAATATCTTAGGAGGTGTGAACATCTTGGAAATGGAGAATAGAAGCAAGGTTGCATTTGTGAAGATGTGGCTCAACAAGAACCAAAGTTGAGGAAAACGGTTATTCGCTGTCACCGAATGGTCATCATTTATTTATCGGAAGGATATGGACTAAGCGAAAATACNAAGCGAAAATACAGATTTTTGGGCTCAACTTACAAAATAACATCGCGTTGAGATCGCGCATTCCAAACTGGAAAGGGTGCTAAAGCATCTAAGAAAGAAGCAACAATATATGTACGGCGAGCATCTCAAAACTACTTCCTGTATGGTAGAACATCAGGAAGAGTTAGTTGGTTTCTTTTTAATCAGCTTTGAATTATGCAGCGGGCCCAGATCATATGTGCTAGAGATAAAAAAAATAATATTTAATCAAATTTAGCGACAGGATGAAGAATAACCTTGACGGATTGGGTAACTTACACAGAGTAAGCAATGGGCAGATGAACTACAAGTGACAGATTACGGTTCGCTTGTGTTTTTCTTCAACTGTTTCCAGTCAGTTGGCATCCCTTGACTCTGTTCGAGCCGCAAACATCTGTATAAATTACTTTCAACATTAAGGCTGCTGCTGATCAAAATTAAAATTCGGTGAGACAGCATCCTTTCAATAAATTGAGCTTGATCGATTGGGTCAGAAAACTAGTCACGGCGGGTTGGATCGATAAACTAATCATTCTGCTGCGGTCAAGAACCGTTGTAGGGACCAGCCCTCCAAATAGACTCTGTATGACTATTGAATGAATTTCAACTGAGGGCAATTTTCCTCGATTCGCCCCACCCGCTGCCGCCACCTGACTGTTTGCCATTGAGAAGTACCGTTAATAAAAAAGCCTAATATTGACATTCAATCGTGTGAAAAGTAGTTGGAACACTGTCCATGAACAGCAAGTTGAAATCAGAATCAACGTATTTACGGAATGCAAGCAAAAAAACTCTCATCTGGGACCCAAAACAAAAATTAGAATTCCGTTTATCCATTCTAAAGATACTCACTTACACTTGGTCGGCTGAATGCATTGTAAGAATTACAATCAGGTTACCAAAGAACAGTTAGCTTCCACTCGAGCGGAACTCCGTGGGATAGATATTCCAATTAGCTTTACCACCAGCTGTTTTGGCACAATAGACTAACATTAGGTAAAGTCAGCCATATGGTTTGTTCTGCAGACATGAGGTGTATATTCTTTGATGCAAACTATCAGGCACTACCCATGGCAAGGATCTCCAGTGATTATATACATTATTGTTTATGGCTCCCTTTTCACAATGAAGTAAATCCAACTTCTGTTAGAAACTAAACATAAGAAAATCCATGTAATCCGCGGACTTGGTCACAAAGGTTACTTTAGTCTTCGCCGTTATGAACATTGTGACTGACCCTAGCGTTGATTGACGACCGCTTGAATGTCATGAACGGAGACACTCGTGTACCAACTCGATTCCCCAAATTCTATTCAATCATTTATACTTCATTTTCTCAGTTTCAATAAAAATGGCCAAATCAAAATGATGCTTCTGATAAATGTTGCAATTCAAAACACGATTCAACTAAACCACCTAACTTCCCTTGCTGTCAGTCAACATGGGATGTTTTGAAGTGTCCCAGGCACAGTTCATTTTGCATTACCTGAATCAGGCTTCCAGTTAATTAGTCTAGCACCCCACAGACGTTTTTCTGTATGAGGATAACAACGAAAGACGCTGTGTACTTTGAGCCAAAACCCTTGCGTGAACACGTTTTCAATGCACTTCTGTAAACTCTCAGGACACTTTGATTCGTAACGTTTCAGGTTATAGTTGGTTGGGAGAACTGCTGAGTTATCAGCCAGTTTTCAATTTGCTTATCAATTTTCAGATAGGTTTTTCATCCCGGTAAGTTCACTTAAAATGCCATCATTAGGCAATTCGAAATAGTTGATTTTTTGTTGAGTGCTATCATTTGCATAACGAAGGCAGCGCAATCTGGAAAACGGTGAAGCCTTGGGTCTCCTACAGTTCAACCTGGAAAGAAGCCAGATACCTCATAACTAAGGAGTTCTATCATGGCTGGGCAACTTGAATCGGTCTAAGCCACGGTCTATTCATTGAATGGGGTGTAAACTAACCTTCCAGGTTTCGGTGTTAAATTGGGTTACTGGACTTGCACTGCTAACGAGGCCCATCGAGTTCAATTTCGCTCTCCCGTGCCACCTAGGAATTCTTTTATTTTTATTTGTTCCTGACGGATTATGAAAAGGATTCCCATAAATTCCTCATTCTTTTAGAATCTTTATGAACCTATTGTATTCGTTAGTCGGATTTGGAGAACAAACTATCCTTTGTCTGGAAGTTAAGTAAGACCTGGCTAATTTCCGATGTGAACTACTATCTATATACACGGATGTATTCCAAAGACCATACGGAACTCATCAACGGAACTAGAAAAGACCGTCATTTGGAACAAAATCTGAAATTATTTTGATTTTTTTGCTTATCGATGTGAATTGAAAATGCGTAATTTAATTGAAAGTATTGGATTTTACAGAAATAGTACATATCTAATGGAGGGGCTTATGGTAGTTTATCAAACGGGCGAAATGCAATCCATTGATTACGGGTTTACATATTCAAAGACCGCCTATTTATATAAAATGCTAGAATAAATTAATATAATATACTCGAAAACTTTGCACATAAGAACAAACTGTTTTTAGGTGAAACGGGCCAAAATGTTTCAGGAATACCTTTTGTTAAGGTCATGGTGCGAACCAATTGGAATGATATCATCCCACACGAAAAACTAATCTAACTGATGAGATGTGGACAAATGGGAAACACATGGAAATGAAGCAATACGATAGAAACGGATCACGGTGGAAAAACCTGTTTTATGAATCCTCTCAATGTGGAGTGGTGGTTTTCAATCAGCGTCCATTTTGAAGTGAATCGTATCATTCACGTTCAGCTATAATATCTAAACAAAATAGGTGGCATAAAGCCTACATAAATCGAAACGTTTCACCATGAATTGGTGCTCCTTCAGACCGATTTGTTTGCGGCGTGGGTGGATTGCGTGACAGAACGTCAGATCGCATGCTCAATGCAGTGACTTTTCCTAATGATAGTGTTTATAGTCGGTTTGCATATGTCTTCGATATTACAGGGAGAGAGGGAGAAAGAACAAGATGCTTCTGCTCATATCCATGGCCACTGGAGTTGCCCTGAAAGCAAGAGTAATCGTTAGTCACTCAAAATAGGTAGTATCGATGAATATGTGAACTTTTCGATGGTTCCATTCTGCTTTCAGTACAATCATATGCAATCAATTAAAAATGTGCGAAGGACAGATATGAATGTGTAACACGCACCACACCCACACCCTTACCAAACACTGACAGTGTCTAACCCATACCCCAATCCCATCGAACGATGAACTAAACTACGGAGCTCATCCATTCGGTACGCACGAATTGAACTGAATATGATTGCAGTGACTGGAGAATGAAATCATCAAAAACGTGTTCACGTTTCTGCACATTGGGTTCTGATGGTCATTTATGGGCTTGTTTCAAAAGTTCGAAGCTAAATTACAATCTCTTGTGTTCTAATCGGTAAACAACATGCATTACTCAATTTTCGAGTATCAAGTTTAGATTAGTCCATTCGATTATTCCGAGGCACTGTAGATGGTCTTGGGTGTGGGTTTGGGAGCTCGTTAATTTCCAACTAGTTGAATGCATTTACTACATGCGATGGAAATATTTTTGATAACCAACAAAGAGCACGGAACAGCTGTTTCGCTCTATTTGGGACTCGTCATCAGTCATCACAAACATTCATTAGTATTTAAATACGATATTTGACCGCTGAATAATCAAATTTGAACTGCCACTGCTTATATAAACAGCCAGTGATGTACAAAAAGGCAAGTCTCCAAACATCTCTCTACAAATTCCGTCACTCTGTCAAAGATTTGGCAGGTAGAGAATA